TCTAAATGATATAATTTGAGTGCGGTTGAGAAACTGCCATAAGAGGGAGCTAGAGAACCTGGATTGCTACTGGATTGATGGTTGATTGTTCTGCGTGTTCCCTGTTGCTGACGTCGAAGGAGGAAAGAGTTTTGAATGCTGCATATCTAATCTACTGTGAGAAGATATTTACTGGACTGATTTATGGATTGACATTGTAAGTTAACTGACCTTTTTTCTGACACTGGATTTTTTGCAATTGAACAATCTCCGGACTGAACTGACTGAACACTAGTAAATGATATTTGGACTGTTTGACCCTGCTACACTCTTAATGGAATAAACTATTCAACTAAGACAGTGTATCCATTTTTACTGAGTGTGTAAACTAAAAAACGCTTTCTCTCATATTCGCCTGACTGCCTGACTGCTGTGCACATTCTGCTAGGGTATATCCCTAACAAGAATACAGTATTAAAGTAATTGTCCCAATTTCAAGGAAGATGTTGAAGGGCAATAAAATACATATAGACATAGTGCCTATGTAGAAGTAGTCAGCTGAGTAAAGAACTACAGCTAAAATGGGTGATCAATTTAACTGACAAAGAATACTTAATATATACTTACTTTAAGAAAGATAACATTTTATTCCAAAAACAAAGGGTTGACACTGAACCAGTAGTAAAAAATTTTTGAATCCCACCACTGATTATAAGCTATCTATTTTCTTACCAATTTCTGTAAGTAACATTACATGTAAGTGAACGTTCTATTCAGCAGAGAGATTCTTGATGGAGAAAGAAATACCTGCCAAGGTGATAGCAGCCTTTCTAATTCAAAGATCTTTTCACCATCTTTCAGAATCCTTCTCCTTGATCTGGACATGCAGGCTTCACTTAAAGCTTGTACCAGAGCCCAAATGGTGTTATAAATGTGATAGCTATCAAGAGAAAGGGTGCCTTCAATTTCCTCCGGTGCTAGAGTTCTCAGGTGTTCTTTTTCCTTGCATTTCAACCAGTGTTTTACAGAAAAGGGATGCTTTTCAAATGAGCACATAAAAGCTTTGACAACAAAGCCAGCGATTGAAGAAAAAAGGTGATCAGGGTTTTCATAAGTTATCCTTTTTTTTGCCTGGATAACGAAAGAGAAAATGCTGACAACACATCGTAAAGTGTTGTGTCTTAAAGCCACTGTGAGATCCCACATAGCTGTGACAATCCAAATTTTTCCAGTGGTGGGTTTTATCAAAAATTGAAATACTTGGTCTATAAATTCCATCCCATAAAAATAAATACTTTGCAAAGTCGACTCTGCATAGTAAATAAATACATTGATTTGTTTCCATTGCAAGTATAACTTAGAGGGTATTTTAAATGCATTCTTATGGAACCCTGATATACTGTGTGAGAAAAGAGCACAGATATTATTTTGCAAGAGTAAAGCTGTTAGAGTTTTCAAAAACCTTTCTCCATTATCAGTTTCGGGAGCAACAAGAGCCACTGAGGTCCATCTAAAATAATGGATCACCTTAACAATTCCTATATATTGGATTCCTTCTTTTGGGAGCATTCGGTAGAAAAAAGGAAACTGGGCTTTATCATTCATATCATCGGAAACGAAAGAGTAAGAGATCTGGAGAAAATGGAAGAAATTTATAATGACTGATGAAATCAAAATTTGCATTTTCACAACTCAAAATTGTAATTGGAATATAATGTCCACAGTGAGAAGGGTCCCATCTTTTTGAAGAAGGGCATTTGGTTGTACCTATGAATTGTTTGCAGAGAAAACATAACTATACAGTATATTAAAAATTAAATTACTCGTTTGGACATTTCAAATTTTAATTAAGTTACACTCTTTATCAAATGGATTTCTGCAATAGATTTTGTTCTGATGAAACACCAGCTTCAAGTGAAAAGAATATATCTGCTGAACAAAACTCCACATTGGTAACAGGAATGGAATCCAGCCATTAAAACACCCTGCTAGCTCAATTCAGTTGCCTAGACTCCACTCCACAAGAGATTATGGGGTCATTAAAAGAAGATGATGATGATTCTAAAATGTTTTTTCTCCTTCCCAGTATATCCTATAGCCTACTGGTCTCTTGTCCTTTTTATTTATTAAATGCATTTATAAAGAGTCCCAATTTATATGCATTTTCTCTAGGTGGCATATAACGTTAAAAATTCACAGTTAACCACAATTCTTAAACCAGACAGGATGCTCGGAGGGTCTAACATCATCATTCCTTATTCCTCATCTGTCCTCCACAAAAATATGCCCAATATTTGTTCAGCAATCTAGCCATAGTGAAATTTATTTTAATTTATATTTTAAATAGATACCCTTGTATAATGTGCTTTGCATGAATAAATTCCATAAATTTGCAAGACAACACTCATCAACAGCTGAGTTTAAGGTGTTTCAAAAACAATTTGAGCTTCTATTATATTCTTTCATTTTTCTCAAATGATTTTTTTTGCACTTTTGCATTTTTTAAAATTTCTTTTAAATACAAATGAACAATGAAGGACATGTTTCTGCCTTTAGAGAAGAAACCTGCATAAAATCACGCACCACACTCTTTAAAAATACTATATCTCTATTCCATCATTTAATATTTCCTATTTTGGGATGTTTTTGGTAAATTCCAGAATGGAAATGTACCAAGTACTAGAAGTAGCAAGTTTGTGTTCTTACCTGTGGGATTTTGTAGATGCTCAGCATGGTTGCAATATGGTAGGAGAGGTCAGAATCAGTGCCTTCAAGGAGGGACAGCAGATTTTTCTGTCTTCCACATTTGTAGTTTGGAACATTTGCCAATGTTCCAGCAGAAAGTAGGTCTAACAAGGCTTCAGCATTAATTTCTGCATTGAACTTACTATCATGGACAGTGTAACCCAGAGTGATGTTGGGTAGGATCAGGTGGTTTTGGTTGATCTCACGGATGGCAAACAAGAAGGACAAGAGGTACCAGTTATCCCGTTTAAATTTCCTACATAAATGAATGGTGTATCCTATCACTATCCAAACTTAATGTCAATGTCATATTTATTTCTTGCTTCTTTGACTTAAATGGAAATAAGTAAAGTTCTGAATTCGGGAAGATAAATAGTAGGTAATATACAACATCTGAAAAAAGGAACCACTGAGAAGATTGATTAAATGATCAAGAGGATAGATAGATAGATAGATAGATAGATAGATAGATAGATAGATAGAT